AGACTGAGCTAGGAGTCTGGAACTAGGGCATTTCGTCCCAGTTAGCTACTGATTTAGCCACTGGATCTTTCCGAGCCTCAGTTTGCCCATTTGGTAAATGAAGCTCTACTAGACTGGCTTTGCTGCTCCCACCTGTATGACCTGGGGTGACTCACTAGAGTCTTCATCTGAAGGTGTAGATAGTGACAAGAGGTTAAGAGATTGGGATGAGGAGGGGCCAGACATAGTTCAGTGCCTGGCTCATGGTGCATACTAAGTGTTTGGCACTGGGGAGGGATGGCAGGATCTTCAGATAGTGAAGTGTCTAAGACATGGGTTCGCTCTTACCCTGGGGCTATCTGGCATCTGGATGAAGGGCTGGGAAGACACATAAAAGAAGAGGAACTCTACGTTCTCAGAACAGAGCACCCGGAGAGGATTGAGCTCAGAAGGGCCTGTGGCACCTACAGCTGACTCCGACTCCACACCCAAGGGCAGACAGGCTAAGATCAGAAAGGGACCAGTGCTGAACAAGTGGGAGGTGGGCTCTAAAGGAGGGGCTTCGGCAGGGGAGGAAGGCTCTCAAGCCCCCTGAGCACGAGGATATGGTGGCCTCTCACAGGCAGGGAGGTGCTTAGGAGAGGCCTAATCTAATAGAGAAGGGCCGGGTGGGGCTATCAAGGGGCCAGCTTGGAGCTGGAAACCTGTAGAGCAGTGAGTGTTTCTCACCCTCCTAATCCTGCGACCCTTCAAACAGTTCCTCATGCTGTGGTGACCCTCAACCTTAAAATTATTTTCATTGCTACATCACAGCTGAAGTTTTGCTAGTTATTAATCATAATGTAAATATCTGTTTTCTGGTGGTTTCAGGTGGCCCCTGTGAAAAGGTTGTTTGACCCCCAAAGGGGTCGTGACCCACAGGTTGAGAACCCCTGGTGTAGGCAGAGGGCATGCCTTTTCACCTCTGCTCTCAAATATTATTACTCTGTATATCTGACTCTTGTAAGCAGACTCCATGTCCCAGGGCTCCCACAATGCTCTTCTTTTTGTTAGGCCCTGTGGAAGTACTATCAGAGAAAGCCATTCACTGCCTAACTTCTGACCAGGTGGCAGGGTCTTCGTGTCAGTGTTCTGTGTCCCCAGCTCCCAGCCCACTCCAGTTAAAGGCACACTAGGCAGCCAGGAGACTTTAACCTCTCACCAGCACGAGAGTAGAGCCATACATAACTCCCCTGGGAGTGTCATGGTTGACGGTGGCACAGGGGCACTTTTGGATAGCATAGGGGACACAGAGGAAGTTCTGAGGCTTTGGCACAGACAAGGTCTGCTACAGCAGAAATGTCAGAAGGGGAGAGCAGGACCAGGGCCTGGCTTTGAATGTTGGGAGGTAGAGAAGTAAGGAGCCTGCGTTCTCATGTTTGGCGTGGGTTTAGGAGGAGTTCAGGCAGGCAAGGAAGGCTCTCAATCCCCCACCCTTGACCCTGGTCCGTCTGCAGGGACCGGCACCAATGCCTGCTATATGGAGGAGCTCCGGAATGTGGCAGGTGTTGCTGGGGACTCGGGCCGCATGTGTATCAATATGGAGTGGGGTGCCTTTGGGGACGATGGCTCACTGGGCCTACTCAGCACCTGCTTTGATGCTAGTGTGGACCAGGCATCCATCAATCCAGGCAAACAGAGGTATGGCTGAGGCCCAGGCAGTGGTGGTGAGCAGGGGCTGCACCAGCGAGCATAGCTGACGGGGCCTCTGCTTCACGTGGACACGCACGCGCCTTCATGCAGGTTTGAGAAGATGATCAGCGGCATGTACCTGGGGGAGATCGTCCGCCATATCCTCCTGCATTTAACCAGCCTTGGAGTTCTCTTCCGGGGCCAGAAGACTCAATGCCTTCAGACCAGGGACATCTTCAAGACCAAGTTTCTCTCAGTGATCGAGAGGTGCCTGCATTGCCAGTCACTGTGGGGGAATGCTGGGTGCTGCTGGTAGTGGAGGGAGAATCCCTGAGAGAGGGAACTAACACAAGGTATCCTTACTACTCTGTGTTCTGCTCCTTCCTGGCTTCAGTGACAGCCTGGCCCTGCGGCAGGTCCGAGCCATCCTGGAGGATCTGGGGTTGACTCTGACCTCTGATGATGCCCTGATGGTCCTCGAGGTGTGCCAGGCTGTGTCTCGGAGGGCCGCCCAACTCTGTGGAGCAGGTGTGGCTGCTGTGGTGGAAAAGATACGGGAGAACCGGGGCCTGCAGGAGCTGTCGGTGTCTGTGGGAGTAGATGGGACACTCTACAAACTCCACCCTCAGTAAGTCTGGGTAGGTGGGTCAGGCAGGGAGGCGTGGCCAGGTGGGCTGGGCTAGCCTGGGCTGACCTCGGGGCCCCTTCTCCTCACAGCTTCTCCAGGCTGGTGTCAGCTACAGTTCGGAAGCTAGCCCCTCACTGCACAGTCACCTTTTTGCAATCAGAGGATGGGTCTGGCAAAGGTGCAGCTCTGGTCACTGCTGTTGCCTGTCGCCTTGTGCAGAGGGCCCGTGACTGAAGGAATCTCCAAGAATGATGGGATCTCACCAGACTAAAGCCTCAGCCTAGCCTGACTCCTGGCAGGCCCAGCGACGGGGGACTCCCAAAGGAAGCCGAGTGTGGCCCCCTTATCTATCCATACCCAATGGCTTTCTGAGAGAAGTCACACTCTGGTTAGCAATATATATATATAATTTATTTACATTCACGTCCGCTAAAATCCCTACGTGCCCCGGCAGCCGGGCAAGGCTGTGTACATAAGGCCAAGTGTAAGTGCATGAAAGCACTTAAGACAGAGTCAGGACACAAGCTTCACACAACAGGCCCCACACAGGGGCACTGGCCAGCCCCAGGAACAGGGGCACGCCACGGCACACACACACTTGCCCTTGTACAGCCCGGCACTCCCATTTGCATATTCACACGCCCCGCTGGGCAGGGCACCTCGAGGCTGGGGGCAGGGAAAGGATCAGGGAGGAGCCTTGGGGTGTCCCTGGGTGGGTGGGAGAAGGGCAGCATGTGAGAGGCAGATGTGTACGGACCGGACACCGGGTGTGAGGTGTGAGAGACGTGAGCAGCCTCCAGGTGCACAGCGTGAGATGTGTGAGGTGGGGGAGGGTCCTGCATGACCTGGAGAGGGGTACGTGTGAGATGAGCACACGAGGCATGCATCGCATGCCTGTGTGGTGACCGTGTGCCTGAATCCAAGGGCCAGCCCCTGTCCAGCTGGGGCCCTTGGTTCCCCAGGCTTGAAGCCAGGCCCCTCAAATACACCCCTACCCAGCAGGCACAGAAATGTTTGCATAAGGCCCACCTCAGGCAGGAGCTCTGGGGGCGTGTCCCAAGCCCAGCATGTGTGGACATGCTGTGTGTATGCGGGGCCCCTGGCAAGGGACAGGAGGAGAGGTAGCATCACACGCATATACACACACACACACAGATGGGCTGGGCTCAGCCCAGGCTCCAGGCACTGTCCACTCTGGGCCCTGGGACCAGGGCAGAGTGAGAGCAGGTGGCTATACCAACCCGGCCAGGCAGGCCATGGAGGGATGGAATTTGGGCAGGGTCTGAAGGACCAGCGTTAAGGGACAACTTCAGCCAGGAGGGGGCCTGTCCAAGCAGCTCTCCCCCGGTGTGGGGGTAGGGCCCCTGTCTGGCTTTTGCCTGTCCCTGGCAGGTGCCAAAGCTGGTGAGAGTGTAGGCATTACGGGCCTGGCCAGTCTCAGCACTCGGCCTCTGACACTGTGAAGAGGCCAGCGTCTGGCTGGCCCAGTCCAGCCACGGCTGCTGCCAGCTGGCCGAGGTTGCCGTTGGGGAAGTGCCGGGCCTCCCATAGGTTGAGGAGCATGGCTGTGGGGCTGGGCTTGGAGGCAAAGAAGCTAAGATGGCTGAAAAGAAGAGGCAGTCTGTCAGTCAGTATTCTGGCTCACTCCAGGCTGCCCTGTCATGCCCCAAGTCTAACCCAAGGTAGGTAGAGACCCCTCAACTTCACCAACCACCTTGGCCACCAGTGGTGTGGCACAGACTGTCTACCCCTCTTGCCCTACCAGTCCCCACTCTGCCTCTCCACCCACCTGTCCAGGTGAAGTTTCTGGGCTAGGGTCCGCCAGTCGGCACCCCGGCTGCAGGGTGGGTCCAGGCTGGTAATGATCTTTTGCCGAATGAGGAAGGGGATCTTGAAGGCACTGGGGCCCACCAGGGCTGGGACCCCCCCTTCACTCTCCAGAGCCAGCAATTCCGCAAACCTCGTGTCCTGGGTTGGGTGAGGTATGCAATAGGCGCCAGTCAGAACTCAGCCCACTGCTGCCCCTGCTGAGGGAGTTCCCAGACCGCCCCAGACCATGGGGACAGCAGGACATTGGCCACCCTCTCCCTTATGCACCAGGGGCCTACTCTTTAGTCACCTGGCCAAAGTCACAGTGAGCATTAGAGGAAGCCTCTTATGTCCTTCCACACCCCCTCCCGCCATGCCCAGAATGCTCGGACTCGCCACCCTTATCTCACTGCAGGCCTCAACTCAGTTCCTGCTGCCCAAAATGCCCTTTCCCACCCCACTGTCTGTCAGACTCCTGCTTACCCTTTATAAAGTCCCTCTTTGGGGACGCCCTCGGGGCCTTAGGCCAACTCTACCTCCTCCTGCTCCCTTAGCCTGTTTGATTCCCCCTCCATATCCCACTTGCACTTGGACACGTCCCCAGCAACTTGGAAGAAGCTAGAAGGAGAGTGGGTAGGGCTGGTGGCGTGTTGGCAGCGAGGCCCAGTGATGAAGTGTTTCAGGAGTGGCGGGGCGGGGCGGGGCG